AATCATGAACTCCGGTATAACGCGATGAAACGCGGAACCCTTATAATGTAAAGGTTTACCGCTTTTTCCCATGCCTTTCTCTCCTGTGCAAAGTGCGCGAAAGTTCTCCGCAGTCTTCGGCACAACATCATTAAAGAGCTAAATGTCATCTCTTGAGCAATATACACATTTTTTTCTTAAACTTTCCAACCACTGCTCTATAAACGTAAAGGAACAACCTCGATTGTAATTTTCCCAGCTGGCTTATCACCAATATTTACATCAAAGAATACTTTGCTTCGGGCGGCATTTGATGCATTACGAACAGCACTGTAAAGTAGACGGGAAGAACGTGTGAAAAGCGACATTTGTCCCTGAAAAGAAATATATTAGCTAAAAGCCTCTGCTGCAATTCCCTCTGCAACTATTCCAGCCGCCATTTTCTTCTTTAATTAAGCAAATTTCCAGCGCCAAGTCTCACAACTTTGAATGAAAACAAACAAAACTGCGTGATTTGTGTTCCTAATGACGGCATAAAAGTGCGCGGATATACTACTGAGGAGATTCCCTTCTAGCTAATTTAACCGAACCAGACTTAATGCAAAAATGGCAAACAAAAGTGCCAGTCTGGTGTTGCACATTTTGTGACAATTCAAAAGTTGGAAATTCGAATTCTCAGTCGCCTCAATTGAGTAAAGAGCGCTACTTATGTTTCATTTGGAATTTACAGTTCTCAGAGTCATGCTGGACGAAATGACAGCGATTCAAAAACACAAAGCACGCTTAATTGAATGACTGTGACTGCACGAAAAAAAGGAACTATAAATGGTAAACAAAGGTAGTACGATTATAAAAAAAAACATTTCAAAATGAATTGTGCAGCACTCGGCAAAAATGAAGCGCAATAAGCACAACTTTGCGGGTAAATCAATTCTCAGTAGACGAATACAGAAATAATGTCATGATACAACATGCAGAATGTTTTCATTGCCTTGAAAAGAATATTTTATTGCTTTGAAAGGCTATTTGGCAGCAAGATTTTCTGCAAAGAGAAGAACAAGCACATCAGTGATAACGACTGCAATAACCACAACCATGGTGCTGATAACAGTAGCAAAAAAGATATGCACTCTGGACACCCT